GGACCGCCACCGGGGCCAGCGGCGCCGGGCGGCGACGGGCCCCCCCCCGTCGCAGCCCCGAGCGTGTCGGCAGGACGCGTCGGGCGTTTCGCCCGCGGCTTCCTCGCCATGTACTCCAGATTTCGTGACAAAAGGGAGGGGGTCTGGACCCTCCAAGGCAAGCCATTTCAGACCTCCCCCGCGGGAGAACCCTCCCAGACATCGTCCCCAGACCCCCCAGGCCCTCCAAGATAGCCTGGAAGAGACCCCCCCCCCGAAATGAGACCCCCTCCCTTTTATTACGAAATCTGGAGTAGGGGATGGTAGGCGGGATGATCATTATAATCATCTTTTCCGTGAGGACGGAGAGGCACGATACGAAATCGGGACACATTTGTATCACTCGGTGCTCTTCCGTAGGCTGTTTGGGCCAAGCCTCAGAGCTGAGGGCTAGCAACGCTGAGTCCACGTTCCCAACGCGTGGGAGGCATACGGAAAGATTCTAGATCAGATTTGAGTCTGCGAGGCCAAAAACAAGAAGTCTGTCTTGCCACAGGTTCACGGATGGTCAGCGGGCGTTGTTTTTTAAGTGGCTCTCGCCTGAGCGCCGCGCAAGTTCGCCTCCAAAGTTTGCAATCGTTTGAGGAATGTGTGGGCGGATGTTATTCACAAGGTGGCTCGGGCCTTTTGCGCCACGCGCACCCGTCTTTGCAAAAATGCGACCGCCTCACGGATGGAGGGCGGACCGTTTTCAAAATGCTGAAGGGCCCCCAGGACACACAAATAAATACACAAAAATAAGTATAGCCGGAGTGCAGTATCCCCAAACAGAGTTTTTAGACCCACTGCGGTTTCCAAGGTCGATTGCGTGCCCGTCCAGTGCGGGCTGGCATGGCATGTTCAAACATGCCTCCTCCTCCTCCTGCTCCTGCTCCTGCTCCTCCTCCTCCTCCTCCTCCTCCACCTCCTCTTCATCCCGAACGGCATCTCGGAGCCCAGAGTTGCGCGGATGTATCCAGCGTAACGGGCTGGAACACCTCGCGCGCGGCATTGCGGACCCCAGAGTTGCGACGATGTCTCGGGCGAAACGTGCTGCGAGAAAGTCTCATGCGAAACGGGCCGGACCACCTCGAGCGCGGCGTCTCAGAGTCCCGAGTTGCGGGGGCCTCCTGGGGCCTCCTGGGGACCTCCTGGGGCTTCCTCCTGGGCCTCCTGTGGCCTCCTGGACCCCAACTGGGGCTTCCTGAAGCCTCTTGGGGCTCCCAGGGGGGGAGGGATATCTAACATGTGGCCGTCGGGGCCCCCCAAAATGGGGAAGGGGCCACAAGAAAAGGAAAAATCAACGAATCGACACCGGATGTGTATTAACTTGACACGTTCTGAGAGGGGGCCTCCTGGGGCCTCCTGGGAGCCTCCTGGGAATCTCCTGCGGACCCCTGGGGCCTGTCCTGGGCGTCATGCGACCTCCTGAAGCTCTCTGGGGCCTCCTGGGGCTCCCAGGGTCCCAGTGGGGATATGTAACATGTGGTCTTCTGGGCCCCCAGGCTGGACCACCTCTTGCGCGGCATCTGAGAGCTCAGAGTTGCGAGAATGTCTTGTGCGAAACGGGCCGGACCACCTTGCGCATGGCATCTCAGAGCTCAGAGTTGCAAGGATGTCTCAGGCGAGATGGGCCGGACCACCTCGCGCAGGGCATCTCGGAGCCCAGAGTTGCAAGGATGTCTCCAGCGTGACGGGCTGGACCACCTCGCGCGCGGCATTTCGGACCCCAGAGTTGCGACGATGTCTCGGGCGAAACGTGCTGCGAGGAAAACTCAGGCTAAACGGGCCGGCCCACCTCGAGCGCGGCGTCTCAGAGCTCCGACTTGCGGGGGCCTCCTGGGGCCTCCTGGGACCTCCTGGGGACCTCCTGGGGCTTCCTCCTGGGCCTCATGTGGCCTCCTGGACCCTACCTGGGGCTTCCTGAAGCCTCTTGGGGCTCCCAGGAGGGGATATCTAACATGTGGCCGTCGGGGCCCCTCAAAATGGGGAGGGGTCCAGAAGAGCAGGAAAAATCAACGAATCGACACCAGATGTGTATTAACTGGACACGTTCTGATAAGGGGGCCTCCTGGGGCCTCCTGGGAGCCTCCTGGGAATCTCCTGCAGACCCCTGGGGCCTGTCCTGGGCGTCCTGCGACTTCCTGAAGCTCTCTGGGGCCTCCTGGGGCTCCCAGGGTCCCAGGGGGGATATGTAACATGTGGTCTTCTGGGCCCCCAAGCTGGACCACCTCTTGCGCGGCGTCTGGGAGCTCAGAGTTGCGAGAATGTCTTGTGCGAAACGGGCCGGACCAACTTGCGCATGGCATCTCAGAGCTCAGAATTGCAAGGATGTCTCAGGCGAGACGGGCCGGTGTCTCGGGCGAAACGCGCTGCGAGGAAGTCTCATGCGAAACGGGCCGGACTACCTCGAGCGCGGCGTCTCAGAGCTCCGAGTTGCGGGGGCCTCCCGGTGCCTCCTGGGGCCTCCTGGGACCTCCTGGGGCTTCCTCCTGGGCCTCCTGTGGCCTCCTGTACTCCACCTGGGGTTTCCTGAAGCCTCTTGAGGCTCCCAGGGGGGGATATCTAACCTGTGGCCGCTTGGGGGGCACAAGAGCAGGAAAAATCAACGAGTCGACACCGGATGTGTATTAACTGGACACGTTCTGATAAGGGGGCCTCCTGGGGCCTCCTGGGAGCCTCCTGGGAATCTCCTGCGGACCCCTGGGGCCTGTCCTGGGCGTCCTGCGACCTCCTGAAGCTCTCTGGGGCCTCCTGGGGCTCCCAGGGTCCCAGGGGGGATATGTAACATGTGGTCTTCTGGGCCCCCAGGCTGGACCACCTCTTGCGCGGCATCTGGGAGCTCAGAGCTACGAGAATGTCTTGTGCGAAACAGGCCGGACCACCTTGCGCACGGCATCTCAGAGCTCAGAGTTGCGAGGGTGTCTCAAGCGAGACGGGCCAGACCACCTCGCGCAGGGCATCTCAGAGCTCAGAAGTTCGAGGATGTCTCAGGCGGGCTCCCAGGGTCCCAGGGAGGATATGTAACATGTGGTCTTCTGGGCCCCCAGGCTGGACCACCTCTTGCGCGGAATCTGGGAGCTCAGAGTTGCGAGAATGTCTCGTGCGAAACAGGCCGGACCACCTTGCGCACGGCATCTCAGAGCTCAGAATTGCGAGGATGTCTCATGCGAAACGGCCCGGACCACCTCGCGCAGTGCATCTCAGAGTTCAGAAGTTCGAAGATGTCTCAGGCGAAACGGGCCGGACCACCTCTCGCACGGCATCTCCGAGGTCAGAGTTTCGAGGATGTCTCAGGCGAAACGGGCCGGACCACCTCGCGCAGGGCATCTCAGAGCTCAGAGTTTCGAGGATGTCTCAGGCGAAACGGCCCGGACCACCTCTCGCACGGCACCTCGGGGCTCAGAGTTTCGAGGATGTCTCAAGCGAAACGGCCTGGACCACCTCTCGCGCGGCGTCCCGGAGCCCAACTTTTCGAGGATGTCTCAGGCGAAACGGCCAATCCTGGCCAACTCAGAAACGAGAATTGTGAGGATGTCTCAAGCGGAACGGCCCGGACCATCAAATTTTTATGAGGATGTCTCTGCTCCGACTTCCCTCGGCCGGAGTTAGCTTCTATCACAACAGCACCCGTTCAGCAAGCTGTTCGGGGAAAAAGATTCACCATATTTTCATATATTTTCAAAGTTTTCGTTTTCCCCCACTTCCCATATTTTCCTATATTTTCTAGGGGATCGACGATTAATTGTGTCTGTGTTTTTTTCCCCTCCTGAAATGCAACAATGTCAAGGGTGGGGGGCTGTTCCTTTTCAAACTGTGGCTCTCGCCTTAGCGCCGCGCGCATTCGTCTTCAATTTGTTTCAGCAGCTTCAAGGACTCGCATGCTTACCTGACACGATTTAAGAATATCAGGATGCATCAATCATATTATTTTGCGGTGCTAAGGTCCCGCGAACGGTGTTCTGGCACGATTTAGAAGTGTCGGGATGCGACAGCCGCGTTGACTCGCGGCGCTGAAGTCCCACGAAGTGTGTTCTGGCACGGTTGAAGATTATCGGACGGTTGTCTTTCATTGGGGTGCTTCTCGCATTGAAAACAAATTATTGCAGGGCCTAATGAATAAGGAACTTGGAAGGAAGTTTCTTTGCAACATCGTTGGCGCGTCTTGGATTTACACCGGTCCTCCTCCTCGTCCTCCCTCTTCTCCTTTTTCCCTTCCTCTCCCACTTGCTCCATCAAAGGGTTTAACCACGGTTGGGGGAACACATAGCCCAATGGCTTGGCCAGACTTCGGCCACACGGTTGGCCGCATGGGCGTTTCCAAGAGGCAGGGGGCGCTAGACCCCGCAAACTTTGTCCCGCTCGGGCCATTCATGCACTCCTGGTCGACACCCCGCTCGAGAGACCCAAGCGCAGTGCCAAGCCCAAGGCTCGGGAGAGCCCAAGGCTCGAGAGAGAGAGAGAGAGACCGCTCCGCCTCCACAGCCGGGCGCCCCAAGCAACATGCACCGCCAAGACTGCCCCCGACGGAACCACGATGACCACGCTCACCCCTGGCCGGGACGAGTTCGGGGGCGGGGCCTGGTGGCAACCGTTTTTGTGGACCCTCGCCGCGCACGGCCCCGCGCGTAGCTCAACACATGCGACACTGAGCGCAAGTGATTGCTGGGAGACTCGGCGCCGTCGGGCAGTCGGAACGGGACACGGGGCAGGGGCACGCGGCCATGCGGCGCGTGCCCTCCAGCAGGAGGCGCGGACTGTGGGTCCGAGAGGCGCGTCCGCCGCCAGCGAGTGCATTCCACTCCCTCGCTTCCGCTGCCCCCCGCGCGCGCGGAGCCGCCGCGGCTGTGCACGTGCGAGCGGCTCCGCCGGGAGACTCGCCGCTGTCGGGCAGTCGGAGCAGGCGGAACAGGACGCAGGGCAGGGGCACGCGGACCGTGGGTCCGAGAAGAGGCGCACCCGCCGGCGAACATTCAACTCTCTCACTTTGGCTGTCGCCCGCGCGCGCGGAGCCGCCGCGGCTGTGCACGTGCGAGCGGCTTCGCTGGGGGCATGCCGGCAGGAGCGGGGGGAGGGGGGGGGGGAGGCCTTCGGCGGCAACTCGTGGGAGCCTCCCATACCATCTTGCCGGCTCGACGCTGGCTCGACGCTGGATCGACGCTAAATGGATGCTGGCCGACGCCCACTCGGCGCCATCTCATCGACTCCCGGACGCTTAGTCCACGCTTGGCGACGCTGGGGACGGCAGCAGGAGGGTCTGCCAGGCTCCCATGCTCTGCTGCCAAGAGGGACCAGCCCGCCACGCACGGCTCAGTAGCTCACCTGCACCGTGCTGCCCGGCCCACACCCGGCGGGCCCCTGGAAACTGACGAGGCGGCCGTCCCCGGCCTGCACCTGGTACGTCCTCCCCGGGAAGGCGTCGGCAGGCAGGACCACCGTCGTCTGCGCGGGCGCCGCCTGCTGCGAGAAGCACTGCGCGTACTGCGCCGGCTGCGAGCAGCACAGCTGCAGGTAGTACTGCTGCAGGGCCGCCTGCTGCAGGGCCGCGGCGTACTGCCGCTGCAGGGCCGCGGCGTACTGCTCCGGCGTCATGGGCTGCTGCATGGCGGCCGGCGGGGCGCGCTTTCTGACTTTGCCGGGCCCACGCTGCTCGAATCAAAACCGACTTGGGCCAAACCGGCTACGGACCTCGGACCTGCGCACATGCGATCCGGGGGCTCTTGCTCCTGAGGCAAGACGGGCCACCTCCCCCGAACGTGCGTGCTGCCCGAGAGCGCCCCACGAACGCTGTCCCAGACGGGCTCGCGATACGCCCCCAGGTCGGCATTTCCCCCTCGGGGGGCCCGACCTCGGCGCCTGCAAGAATGTGGTGGTCATGAGCACGAATGGGCACCGACCGCCGAGCCGCAGGCACTGAACGGAGCGTGTTAGGTCATCAGAGATCCAGCTGTTGAATCCTCGTAGTGCTGTCCAGGGGCCCCAGGGAAGCAATGCCCAAGTCGCCTCCAAGACGGCCAACATGGCCCAAGATGGCCTCCAAGATGGCCTCCAAGACGGCCAACGATGAAGACGATCCCAAGACACCACCACGACAGCCGAGATGGCCCCAAGACGGCCCAATCTGTCCCTCAGATGGCCCAAGAAGCCCCCAAGACGCCCCAAGAGTGCTCCAAGAGGACCTCCAGGAGGCAAAAACCATTGGTTTCCCACTTGCTTTTCAATGAGTTTAGCGTCCTCGCCTTTTCGAGCTTCCGACGCTCACAAACGGCTCATCGGCCCCCAAGATTGCCCCGCGACGGCCCCAGAGGTTCCCAAGAGGCCTGCAAGAAGGCTCAAAAGTGCCCCCAAGATGGCCCCCAGAGCCACCCCAAACGGCCCTAAAGCTCCCAAGGAGCGACCCACGACTGCCCAGAGAAGGCCCCAAGACGGCCTCCGAAGGCCAACAGGTTTCTGTAAAGGCTTCCAGAGGCCTCCAAGAAGTCTCTCAAAGGCACCTGAGAAAAAGTCCCTCTAGAGGCCCCCAAGAAGCTCCCAGGATTTCCCCAGAAGGCCCCAAGAGGGCCTCAAGAGGTCTCCTCTTCTTCGCCATCTTCCATCCCTTTTCGTGATACATAGCCCCTCCCTGTCGCATCCCCAAACGTGTCGACAGGACGGGTCGGGCGTTTCGTCTGCGACTTCCTCGCCATACATTATCCTGAAGTCTGTTTTGCAACACTTTCACGGATGGTGGGCAGGCGGGTTTCAAAATGTGGCTCTCGCCTTTTGCGCCATGCGCACTCGTCGTTTTTTTCAGCTTCATGGATAGAGGGCGGACCATTTGCAAGAGATAAACAATTTCAAGGGTGGATGGCCACTCCTCTTCAAACAGTGGCTCTCGCCTTAGCGCCGAGCGCCTTCGTCTTCAACTGTTGCAGCGGCTTCAAGGATTCGTATACTTACCTAACACGATGTAGGAATGTCAGGAATCAACAACCATATTGTTTCGCGGTGTTGAGGTCCCAAGAACGGTGTTCTGGCACGATTTAGAATTGTCGGGATGCTACAGTCACGTTGACTCGCGGCGTTGCATTGCAGTCCCACGAAGTGCGTTTTGGCACGATTGAAGATTATCGGACGGTTGTCCTCCAATGGGGCACTTCTCGCAATGAAAACAAATTCTTGCAGTGACTGATGAATAAGGAACTTGGATGGAAAGTTCATTGCAACATGGTTGATGCGTCTTGGGTTTACACCGGTCCTCCTTCCTCCTCCTCCTCCTCCTCGTCCTCCCTCTTCTCCTCCTTTCCCTTCCTCTCCCACGTGCTCCAACAAAGGGTTCCACCACGGTTGGGGGAACACATAGCCCAATGGCTTGGCCAGACTTCGGCCACACGTTTGGCCGCATGGGTGTTTCCAAGAGGCAGGGGGCGCTGGTGATTCGCCGTGGGCGCCTTCGATCTATAGAAAGACAGGAAGACTGAGAGAGAAAGAGAGAGAGAGAGAGAGGCAGAGATTGAGAGAGTGAGAGAGTGAGACAGAGAAAGAGAGAAAGAGAGAGAGAGAGAGCGGGAGAGGAGGAGAGAGAGACCCACCTACCTCCGGAAATGGACGCTCTACCAAAAGAGATCCCGCAAACTTTGTCCCGCTCGGGCCATTCATGCACTCCTGGTCGACACCCCGCTCGAGAGACCCAAGCGCACTGCAAGTCCAAGGCTCGAGAGAGAGAGAGAGAGAGACCGCTCCGCCTCCACAGCCGGGCGCCCCAAGCAACATGCACCGCCAAGACTGCCCCCGACGGAACCACGATGACCACGCTCACCCCTGGCCGGGACGAGTTCGGGGGCGGGGCCTGGTGGCAACCGTTTTTGTGGACCCTCGCCGCGCACGGCCCCGCGCGTAGCTCAACACATGCGACACTGAGCGCAAGTGATTGCTGGGAGACTCGGCGCCGTCGGGCAGTCGGAACAGGACACGGGGCAGGGGCACGCGGCCATGCGGCGCGTGCCCTCCAGCAGGAGGCGCGGACTGTGGGTCCGAGAGGCGCGTCCGCCGCCAGCGAGTGCATTCCACTCCCTCGCTTCCGCTGCCCCCCGCGCGCGCGGAGCCGCCGCGGCTGTGCACGTGCGAGCGGCTCCGCCGGGAGACTCGCCGCTGTCGGGCAGTCGGAGCAGGCGGAACAGGACGCAGGGCAGGGGCACGCGGACCGTGGGTCCGAGAAGAGGCGCGCCCGCCGGCGAACATTCAACTCTCTCACTTTGGCTGTCGCCCGCGCGCGCGGAGCCGCCGCGGCTGTGCACGTGCGAGCGGCTTCGCTGGGGGCATGTCGGCAGGAGCGGGGGGAGGGGGGCGGGGAGGCCTTCGGCGGCAACTCGTGGGAGCCTCCCATACCGTCTTGCCGGCTCGACGCTGGCTCGACGCTGGCTCGACGCTGGATCGACGCTAAATGGATGCTGGCCGACGCCCACTCGGCGCCATCTCATCGACTCCCAGACGCTTAGTCCACGCTTGGCGACGCTGGGGACGGCAGCAAGAGGGTCTGCCAGGCTCCCATGCTCTGCTGCCAAGAGGGACCAGCCCGCCACGCACGGCTCAGTAGCTCACCTGCACCGTGCTGCCCGGCCCACACCCGGCGGGCACCTGGAAACTGACGAGGCGGCCGTCCCCGGCCTGCACCTGGTACGTCCTCCCCGGGAAGGCGTCGGCAGGCAGGACCACCGTCGTCTGCGCGGGCGCCGCCTGCTGCGAGAAGCTCTGCGCGTACTGCGCCGGCTGCGAGCAGCACAGCTGCAGGTAGTACTGCTGCAGGGCCGCCTGCTGCAGGGCCGCGGCGTACTGCTGCTGCAGGGCCGCGGCGTACTGCTCCGGCGTCATGGGCTGCTGCATGGCGGCCGGCGGGGCGCGCTTCCTGACTTTGCCGGGCCCACGCTGCTCGAATCAAAACCGACTTGGGCCAAACCGGCTACGGACCTCGGACCTGCGCAGATGCGATCAGGGGTCTCTTGCTCCTGAGGCAAGACGGGCCACCTCCCCAGAACGTGCGTGCTGCCCGAGAGCGCCCCACGAATGCTGTCCCAGACGGGCTCGCGATACGCCCCTAAGTCTGCGGTGCCTGCAATAAAGTGGTGATCGTGAGTACGACTGGGCATTAACCACCGTGCCGCAGGCATTGAATGTAGCGTGTTAAGGTTAATAGAAACCCAAATACTGAATAGTGATCATACTACTCAGGGGCCCTGGACCGCCCACTTCTGGATATTTGGGCGCTCTTGGGCACTCTCGTGCGCTTCCGTCCAAGGTCTAGTTTGCCTAAGAGCGGGTGCTGTGCAGCAGAGGGGCCCCGTGAAGGGGGATGGGCACGTCTAGCACCAAGGATTTGTTTCAATCAGTTTGGGGGGGCCTTGTCTGATCAAGGGGGCCTGTGCAGGAGGAGAGGGACGTCAAGTACCAAAGGGATTCTTTGGTCAGCTCGGGGAGGGGCTTGCCTAGCAAAGCATGCTGTGCAACAAAGGGGGCCGAGGTAGTAGGAGCGGGGCCGTCTAGTACCAATCAGCTTGTTTCAATCAGCTTTGCGAGGGGCCCTGCCCTGTCTAATAGGGGGCGCTGCGCAACAGAAGGGGCCTGCGCAGAGGTAGGGACACGTCTAGCACCAAATAATGTGTTGAGTCGGCTTGGGGAGGGGCCGTGTCTAACACAGGGTGCTGTGCAGCAGAGGAGACCTGCGTAGGAGGAGCACGTCAAGCATCATAGAGTGATTGTCTTTGTTTGACCAGCTGGGGGAGGGTCCTTGTCTAATGGAGGGTGCTGCGCAGGAGAAGTGGCGGGGCCAAGAATTTGTTTCAGTCTTGGGGAGGGGCCGGGTCTGGGACAAGGCGCTATGCAGCAGAGGGGGCCCGTGCAAAGAGAGTGGCGCGTCTAGCGCCAATGACTCTGTTGTCTTCCTGTGGAGGGACCTTGTCTAAGAGAGGGGCCCGTGTAGGAGGGGCTTATAATCAAGCAAGAGCATGTTTAGAACGAGAATGCTTCAAACCATTAATCTTGGGAGGGGCTTGCCAAGGGCTGTGCAGCACGTGGTGCATGTCTGTGTAGGGGGGTGGGGCACATCTACCACAAGACTCTGTTGCTCCCATCATACCTAAGGACCACACCACAGAAATAATATCGAGCACCTGGAAAGTATCGAAAGAGTGTCGGAACAGCGTCAAAACAGTGTCGAACGAGTGTCTCCCAGGGCCCGACACGTGAGAACCCTCGAGGATCGGTACTTTTCTGGTGCTCGAAATTCTTTCTGGTGATCAAGGCTGAAGTAGGTCGGAACATGATAACACAAGACAACCCGATCACAACTGGTCGAACTGGCGCCGACCCTGAGAGGCTGTCGGCAGCGGGGAGGGTTCTGCACGGGTCCCGAGATGGTCCCGAGGACGTCCTGCGATCGACTCCAAACAAGCAAGGCTCCAGCTCGAGACGTTGTGACAACTTACTCCACAACGAGGCTCCCGCCCGAGACTTCCTTGCAATGATGGCGGCAACCGTTCAAGACCCGTTCGGATGCTGTCCGGGTGCTGTCGGGACACCCCATAGGAGAGGGCACATGTTTAGCATGCGTGCGTTAGAACTCCGAAGCGAACCTGAGCAGGAACATGCCATACTCGAAACAAGCGAGTGTAACACATCCCGCGGGAGATTGAGCACCATCAAGAACGTGGGCGTTTTCACATCCACCTGATCCTTATCATTATACTCCCACCTCCTTCATTCCTTGCTCATCATCCCCATCCCCATCCTACTCTTCTACTCTGAGGGTTTACCTCGTTGCACGATGCATGTTCCTTCTGATCGCCTCCTCCCTGTCGTTGCCTCTCCTGCTCCTCACTTTCCTCCCCCCTCCCCCGATCTTCCTCTCACTTCCTTTCTTCCGAAAGAACCGCTATGTCCCATTCTTTCTGTGGGGGGCCCAGAGACACACAAACAAATGTACACAAATACCAATATCCCCGGTTCTTGTTTGACTTTCGTCTCCCCCCCCACTTCCCACGTTTTCCATATTCTCCCGGGGATCGACGATTATTTAGTGTCTGTGTTTTTTTTCCCCCTCCTGATTCTTGCTTCGTTGCGACGAGCGTCCTGACCAAAGCAACTCGCCGGATGCCTCCGGATGCCTCCACCGATGCACCCGAGGCCCAAGGCCTGGGGCCTGCGCGTCCGATGCCCAGGGCCTGGGGCCCGGTGTCCAGGCCTGTGGCCTGCGGGGCCCGGGGCTTGGGTTAGATCGGGCATGTCCCCCTACAGGCGGATTTGGACGAAGAAACGAAAAAACTACACCAAAAATATCAAAAAGTAGCCCGACCAATAATCAAAACATCGTCCCCAGACTATCTTGACTGTTTTGGAATCTTCCTCCTGTAGAGGGACAGGCCCGGCTGAAGGCTTGGGCATGAGTGCTCGAAGAGCCACGGCGACACAAAAGCAAACTCTTTTTGTCCGTACACGGGACGCGAACCGGCCGAAATGCATGTCCTACACTTTCGGGCGATTTCGTTGTGGAGAGCGCGTTGATTTGGCGCTTCCGGTGAGGCCCATATGACGGGCACCAAGCGATTAGGTACGACTGTGATGTGGACATCGCAGTAGGGTATGCACGAGAGAAAATCGACGTTGAACTCCTCGTGCGAGAAGACGTGAAGGCAGCGCGCCGGTGACTGTCCAGGGAAGAGAAGAGGACGGGGATGAGAGAAAAAATATCGGAAGAGGGGGAAAACGGGATATAGGATGGGGTGGGACAGGCAGGCTGGCGAGTTGCTGGCGGGAGGGGATTGGGGGGGAACGGAAGAGGAGCGAGCTCCTGGCTCAGGGAAGGGGGCGGAAGTGCAAGGGAGACGTGAAGCGGGATGGGGTGGAACAGGCAAGCGAAGGGATGTGCTGGCGGGAAGGGCTGGGGGCAAACCGGGGAGGAGGGAACTTCTCCTCCTCCGACATATGGAAGAAGCAGAGGAGGAGGAGGAGGAGGAGGAGGAGGAGGAGGAGGAGGAGGAGGAGGAGGAGGAGGAGGAGGAGGAGGAGGAGGAGGGAGCGCGCTCGTAGCCGGAGCCTCCAGCGGAGCAGCCCGCGCACCGGCCCCGGCGGCCAGCGCCTCCTCGGGTGGACGAGACAACGAGCCCCAGCCTCTGCGCCCCCATCCCCCCGTTCCCCCATCCTCGTTCCAGCTCTGCACACCCCCAAGGAAGAGGCGGGGGAGGAGGGGGAGGAGGAGGAGGAGGAGGAGGGGAGGAGGAGGAGGAGGAGGAGGAGGAGGAGGAGGAGGAGGAGGAGGGAGGGAGGAGGAGGAGGAAGGGAGGAGGGAGGAGGAGGGAGGAAGGAGGAGGAGGAGGAGGAGGAGGAGGAGGAGGAGGAGGAGGAGGAGGAGGAGGAGGAGGAGGAGTCCACGCCCATTCTTTTCCTACCGATGGCTATGCTACGAATGGTTGCCGCAGCCTGCTCCTCGGGACACCAGGGGCGACTTGCTCTAGAATTGGCGACGGCACTGCCATGCGTGACAGGGGAAGTGTAGAATTCGTGACGCGGTCGACCCTCCTCCCTGCATTTCCTCCGCCTCGCGCGGGGTCAACCTCCCCCCACTGTGCCGCCGTGCGACTCCATCTCCGATGTTCCGCCGGCCCGGCGAAATCCCCGCGGGGCTCGAACGACAACACCATCGGGGACATTCGTCAGGACATCGCCTCGGCGCAGTCCTGGCGTTCCGTTGGCCATCGTAGCTATGATGCTCGTCCCCTCGGACACAAAATCAAACCAAACAATGCTGGCAACATGTGAACTTACCCGCCGATCCTTGCCCTCGCAAAGAAACTCGGAGAGGAATTCCGCGCGATTAACGGGAAAGGTCGAACAAATACGACACGTGAACTTCAACGTCAGCAGTCAACGCACCGTGGGTCGAAGCAGGGGCTCTCCATCTAAAACTTAGGGATGGGACGTACGAGGTAGAAGACGCATGCGGGCGGTGGCACCGAAGCCTTCGGTGGAGCTCCCTATGGGGCCACGAAGCGTGTGATGGTGTGCCGAAGTGGGTGTGGGTGACGCATGCGGACGGTGACAGTGGGGCCTTCGGTGGAGCTCCCCATGGGGCCGCGAGGCGTGTAAGGGGTGTGACGACATAGGTGTGGGTGGCGCATGCGGGCGGTGGTACTGTGGCCTTCGGTGGAGCTCCCTGTGGGGCCACGAGGCGTGTAGGGGTGTGACAACATAGCTGTGGGTGACGCATGCGGGCGGTGGCACTGGGGTTTTCGGTGGAGTTCCCTATGGGGCCACGGGACGCTGTACTGGGCGGGTGAAACGCAAAGGGGGAGGAGGAGGGGGAGGAGGGGGAGGAGGAGGGGGGAGGGGGAGGGAAGAGAAGGAAGGAGACGCGGGGCGCTGACTGTTCAAAGCGAGGACCCAACACCACAGGATGGTTGGGGAAATTCGCCTGGCGAAGGACCCAACCATATGCAGTTGTGAATACCGCAGTTATGAATATTAGCTTCGCCCGCGCTCCCTATGGGGCCACGGGCCGTGTGAGGGGCGTGCCGAAATGCGTGGCGGGGCACACAACGCGAGCGGAAACGATAGGCCTGTGTGCGAGAGACTGAGAGCGAATGAGTCTGACTGTGGATGAATCTGCGCGCGCGTGAGTCTCCGTGCATAAATGTCGGCGCCCATGTCGGCACGCCTCTCACGAGGATCGCGCCCGCTTCCTTCCCGTTGTTCTTCTCCCTCTTTGCCAGTGCACGCCCACGTCGAAGGCTGCGGGCGCGACGCCGCACAGAGTCCCCGCGACGCGCGTGGGTCGTCCGCTGCGCGGAGCACACGGAACGAGCAGGCTGTCTCCCGCCCGGGATGCGCGTCCGAAAAGCGGCTCAACACCTCGAATACGACGAAAAACTTCCGAACATCGAAAGTCGCGGCCATGCGAACTGCGAGTTCCGGCACGGATACCGTCGGTGGAGCTCCCTATGGGGTCACGAAAGGCTGTGCTGGGTGCTGGATGACGCTTGCGGGCGGTGGCACAGGAGCTTTCGGTGGAGCTCCCTATGGGGCCACGAAAGGCTGTACTGGGAGGTGGATGACGCATGCGGGCGGTCCCAATGGGGCCTCCGGTGGAGCCCCCTATGGGGCCACGAAGCGCTGTACTGGGTGGTGGGTGACGCAGGCGGGCGGTCCCACTGGAGCCTTCGGTGGAGCCCCTCTATGGGGCCACGAAGCGCTGTACTGGGTGGTGGATGACGCATGCGGGCGGTCCCACTGAAGGCTTGGGTGGCGCTCCCTATGGAGCCACGAAATGCTGTGCTCGGTGGTGGATGACGCATGCGGGCGGTCCCACTAGGGCCTTTGGTGGAGCTCCCTCGGGGGCCACGGAACGCTGTGCTGGGTGATGGATGACGCATGCGGGCGGTCCCACTGGGGCTTTCGGTGAAGCTCCCTATGGGGCCACGAAGCGTTGAGGGGTGTGGGGGGGACGGGAGGAAGGAAGATGGGGGGAGGAGGAAGGAAGGAAAGAGAACGTGGGGACCGTCTCTTCAAAACGAGGACACACCACAAAATGGTTGGGAAAACAACGAACAAAACACACGAGACAACCACGGGACAACCGTGGGACAACCGCGAGACAACCACCAAGACTAACACGGGAAAACCATCGGGGCAACCATCGGGGCAACCGTCGGGACAACCGTCGGGACAACCGTCGGGGCAACCATCGGAACAACTATCGGGACAACCACGGGACAATCCTGGGCACGCCCCGACGCACCCGGGACAACCCAGGGCACGCCCCGAAGGCCGGGACGCAACTCATTTTGGCGTGATCTGGGCCTAGCTAGTGTAGGAACTCGCGGCGACTTTGCCGCGCCCGCACAGACGTCGCAATCCGAAACCGAAACCGACTCCCGAGTTGGGGGCCTCCGCTTCACTGCGGTCGCACCCCCGAGCCTCCGACTGCCCTCGGTCTGCTTTTTGGACGGCTCCGCTGCCACGTGATTAAATTGATGAGGACGAGGAGGAGCAGCCCTGAGGGCCCAGCCCGCGCCTTCTTGTCGTTCATCAGCTGCTCGAAGAGCGACGGCCGGGGCGGCGGCGGCGCCGCCACGCCCGCAGCCTCCGCGTCGGCGGGCTCCTCCTCGTCGCCCGGGGCCTCCGGCGCGGGGCTGCTGAGGGACCCCCCTGCCTGCCCCAGCAGCCTGCCAACGCGTGGTGGCAGCCCTCGTCCTCGCGTCCCCATCGTGTTCCTTCTCCTCCTCCTCCTCCTCCTCCTCCTCCTCCTCCTCCTCCTCCTCCTCCTCCTCCTCCTCTTCCGCCTCCACCTCCTCCTCCTCCTCTTCCTCCTCCTCGGAAAAGGAGGTGGCCTCCTCCTCCTCCTCCTCCTCCTCCTCCTCTTCCGCCTCCACCTCCTCCTCCTCCTTCCCCTCCTCCTCTCAAACACCGGCTCGAGGCTTGTCCGTAGCAGTCTTGTTCTCGGATGGGGTTTCTGCGCCTTCTCGTGGCGCTTGGGGGGCGATGTGGCTGCTGCGCGCATCAGTGCATCTTTTCGCGTCGGCGAAGCAGGCGAATGTGGGCGAGTGTGACTTCGCCATGGCACTGCAGCTTCATTGGCATGACTTGTGATGTTCTCGCTGGGAATTTCTTCAACGATTCATTATTTGTTCTTTCTTTTCTTTCCGACGTTCTTTCTGTTGTCAACTTCCAAATGCCATCCTTCCTGTTCTTCCTCAGGTTTCTATTAAGCCGTGGCGGGGAAAGGGGCCTTCGGTGCCAAGTCGGCATGTGCTGAGGTTTCTGCTGCTGTCTGTTTCACAAAAGCTGGGTCTGTACTTCAAACCTTTGGGTACAATCGCGGGAGCTTTCGTCAGTCGTGTATCCTTGTTGTTTCCCTAAGAATTAATAGTCTTGTGTTGTCTCCTTCCCTTTTCCCCATGGCTCGCGGGTTTTTGTTATACCGTGTCAGGGTTAAGGCCTGGAGTGCCAAAAGGCTGTATATATATATTGTTGACAGGCTGCTTGTCGTGCTCATGCGGGGTTCAACAACGTCTTTCTCGTGTGCTTGGGCATGGCTCAATATTTGTCAGAGTGCCGTGCATGATGCCACGTTTGTGCTATCTATGTTGTGGGTATCGCGCTCGTCCGGCCGTAGGGAGCCTCAGGAAACGCCGGGACGCGACAAGGAACCCCTGGAAACCTTAGGAACCTCCAGGAAATCCCATGGAACCGCAGGAGGTTTTAGGAGGCCCCCCAAAAAACAGGGAGCCTCAGGGAATCCAAAAGCCCCAGGTGGGTCCAATGAACCCCAGGAAACTTCAGGAAACCCTGGGGGGCCTCAAGGAGCCTCACGGGGCCCCGGGAAGTCCAAGGGAACCCAAGCGAGCCTCAGGAGGCCCAGACAGTTTCAATGAGCACCAAGAAATGTTAGGGAACCTGAAGGAGCCCCAAAAAACCACAGGAGGCCTAAGGAACACACAGAGAACCCCATGGGGTCCTAAGGAACTCCAGGAGACCCTCGGAAACCACTGGGAACCCTGGGCGGGCCAAAAATCCGAGGGAGCTCCAGGGACACCCAGGAGTCCTCCGGAAACTTCAGGGACACCCACAGGAGACCGAATGAGATGCGACGCCGTTGCGACGCCGCTAAGGGAACCTCGTGGAGCCTTGAAGGGTGCTTGCTAATTCCGGACGATACCCAGAGAATCAGCAGCCAATACGAATCTTGGGGAACCGAAAGGAGTCTTGCGAAGGTACAGAAGCATCTGGCAGAATCTGGAGAAACCCCGAGGCATTCTCAGGAATTCCGAAGGACCATGATGAATCCTGCAGAGACCTGGGGGGTCTCGAAGAATCCTGGTGCAGACGGGGGGGGGGCCCGAGAAGTCTTCGATCGATACATATAGATATATACGCATACGTACACATATATATATAGATACATATATATATATACACATACATATCCATATACATTTATGCATACATATATGCCTTCAGTCGATATATATACATATATACACATTATGTATACACGTATACATATATTATATGATATACATATACGTATACATACGCACACTACTCACACTTATACATACATACATACATATATATATATACGTATATATATATATATATATATATACACACAAGGCTGCATTGGCGTTTCGCGCCATGCACCTTGTTCCTTGAAGCTTTGGAATGGTTGGCCCGTCGTGCCATCCTTTTTTCAATTTTTGCCGCGGTCCGCTGGTTCGTACTTCAGAGAAGCGCAGGAAGAGCAGAAAGGGGGGCAATCAACCTGGGACGGGCCAAAACTGCGAGTTGGAGGCCGCGGGCGCATGGAATAGCGCATATGCGTGGGGGCCGCGCGGGAAACAGCTGGAATCCCGGGTTCGCAACCGAATTTCCGGAAAATTGGTTGCGAACCCGGGATTATGAGCATAATGCGGAGCCTTCCACTAGGAGTCGCAAGCGACGACAGTCGGTTTCGGGCAGCGCGGAGCGATTATGCGGCTCCACTGCGCGCTGCATGATGTCAGGCAGCGGGAATTTAGCATTGTCATGCCCCGCATGAAGCCATAGCTGGAGTAGGGACGACGCCAACGACACCTGCGCAGCCGAACGGGACATGCCCTGGTCGAGGAAGTCCTTCTCCTCATCCTCTTCCTCCTCCTCGTTCTCCTTCTTTCTCTGCCTTCTTCTCCTCCTCCTCCTGCTCCTTCTCCTCCTCCGCTTAAGCCATGGAAAAGTAACGATTTGGAAGCTTTTTGGAGCTTCGCCGGAGCTTTCCAGGGAGCCTCCCGAAGCTCTTTGGAGCTCTCTTGGGGCCTCCTTGGGCCCTTTCGGGGCGGGAGGCTCGTATGTTCAGTTATCTGGTCTCCCTGGGGCTCTTCTTTGGGCCGTCTCGGAGCGTTCGTGGGCCGTCTTGGACCGTCTTGGGGCGCGTCTTGGACCGTCTTGGGGCTTTTCAGGACGCTCTGGGAGCCCCTTGGGCCCTTGTGGAGTGGTTTTGGGGGCTTCTTGGGCGGTCTTGGAACGTGGGAAACCAGAAAAAGCGAGGACGCTGAAAACATTGAAAAACCAATGGGAAAGTCACATTTTTGCATGTTTTTGGAGCCTCACCGAAACGTCCTAAGGGGGTCTCCCGAGGCCCTTTGGAGCTCTCTTGGGGCTTCCTTGGGCTCTTTCGGGGCGGGAGGCTCATATTTTCAGATCGTGGTCCCCCCTAGGGCTCCTCTTTGGGCCGTCTTAGAACGTTCGTGGGCCATCTCGGACGCGTCTTGGGCCGTCTTGGGGCTTTCTCAGAGCGCTCTGGGAGCCTCTTGGGCCGTTGTGGGGCGGTTTTGGGAGCTTCTTGGGCGGTCTTGGAGCGTCGGACACTCGAAAAAGCGAGGACGCTGAAAACATTAAAAAACCAAGGGGGCAGTAACAATTTGGGATGTTTTTGGAGCCTCACCGGAGCTACTTAGGGGGCTTCCCGAGGCCCTGTGGAGCTCTCTTGGGGCCTCCTTGGGCCTTCTCGGGGCGGGAAGCTCGTATTTTCAGTTCGTGGTCACCCCTGGGGCCCCTTTTTGGGCCGTCTCGGAGCGTTCGTGGGCCATCTCGGGCGCGTCTTGGACCGTCTTGGGGCGCTCTCAGCGCGCTCTGGGAGCTTCTTGGGCCGTCTTGGAGCGGTTGCGGGAGCTTCTTGGGCGGTCCAGGAGCGTCGGAAACCCGAAAAAGCGAGGACGCGAAAAACATTGAAAAACCAACGGAAATTCAATGATTTTGTTCTCTCGGGCCCCCTTTGAGAACGGTCTTGGGGCTCTCGCGGAGGGTCTTCAAGGCTACCCGGGTGCTATCCTGGACTGTCTTGGGTGTCTCTGTGGGCTTGCGCCGACCGATTTGGCACTGCCGCCCGCCTGCGTGCACGCCTTGGAAAGGATTTTCGGCCGCCCCCGTGGCACGGATCGGGGGGGTCCTGTTTCGGGGGGGGGGGTCCGCACCCCAGGAATTATAAAAATATAGAAAAGGGAATATATATGTGTGTATATATATACCTACATACATGCACATACATACATGCACATACATACATACATACATACATACATACATACATACATACATACATACATACATACATACATACATACATACATATATATACACATCTATATAACGTATATCGAGAGAGTAATATCTCTCTGTTTATACATATATAACTATCCATCTATTTGTATAAGGCCGGGGACGCAAAGAAAACGCCCCCCCTCACGAATTTGGCCATCCCCGGGCCTCCGGGCAACCCTTCAGACGACCCAGGAGAACCTCACCAGAGCCCGGAGCCGGGCCCAGACGGATTCGGGTTCCAGGTGTCCCGGCGCGCCCCCGGAACGGCCCCAGAGAGCCCCAATACGGTCCACGACGACCCCCAAGAAGCCGTCATACCCCCAAAGGTCGCCCCGAAACGTCCCAAAAGGCCTCCAAGAGCACTCCCAAAAAGACCCCAAGAGGCAAAAATCATTGACTTTTTTTTTGGTTGTTGTGAATTGGGGGGTCTTCCTTTTTTCGATTTCCCGGCGCTCCAAAACGGCGGTCTCATGGGCGTCCGAAACCGCCTGGGAGGCTCCCAAATCGCCCCAAAACTATGCGAAAAGGGCTTCCAGGCAGTCCAAGAGAGCCCCCAAACGGCACAACAGGGATCCAAAATGGCTCCAAGAGCGCTCTATGGCCCCCAAGACACCTTCCGAAGCATTGCAAATCGTGAGCTGGTCGTTCAGGGATACCGCGGTTGGAAGCACGGTGGCCCGAGGAAGCCCCTAAAGGCCCCCCAAACACGCCTAGGAGGCCTCCAGAAGGCGTCAATAAAGCCTGAAACATTTTTTTTTTGTGAGGCCCCCAGAGGCTCTCCAAGGAGAAGCCTCCGCAAAAAGAGCCGAGGAGGATGGGGATGATGTGCAGAGTACGGCGACAATGAAAGCCAAGAAATATGAAGGATCACGAAAAACATGTTTAGAACGGCGATGCCGGAAATGGCAACAAGGAGTTATAGCTAAATTGGGGGGGTCGGACCCCCCCCCCTCTGGATAGAGGTGGGGGGGTTCGACCCCCCCCCACCTCTCCCGTGACGGAGGGGGGGGGTTCAAACGCCCCCCCCCCCCCCCCCCTGCT